GCTGCGTGCAGTGGAGCAACCCCCCACCCACTTGGAAATGCTTAATTTGAGGCTGCAGACAGAGACAGACAGAAACCCGCAGCAGGTCGAAGCTAAATAGGAATGCACTGCGCTGACCCCCTGGATCCAGTGGGACTGGCGTGGGGAAGCGAGGAAGAACTCTGGCGCTGGGTTCTAGCTCTGTCCCTTCCATTGTGGCATCTTGGGCAAATCACTTTACCTCTGTAACATGCACCGCTCCAGTAAACCTGAACCAGTAACAGACATAGACACTCATACAGGAAGCAACTAACACTGTGCCTGGGACACGGTAACTACTGGATGAATGTTAGTGCCCTGCTTCCCTTAAAGTATTTTATATATTGTTAGGTACTTGGGGGGGGGGGGGGTTAAGCATGTATCAGTAGTTTGTGGTAACTTATTACAGGGGTTCAAAGTCCAAAGATCACCTAATCCCTAAGACTTAGTCAATAATACCATGCTGTTGACTTTGAAGTAAAACATCACTAAAAGTCAAGTTGAGCCCTAGCCAGTTTGGTTCAATGACTGATGGGTCCCAAGTTCGACCCAGGCCAAGGGCACATATAGTGAGCGGTTGCAGGTTTGATTCCAGTGCAGGAGGCAACCAATCCATAGACACATAGATGTTTCTCTCTCTCTCTCTCCCTGCTCCCCTTTCTCTCTCTCTCCCCCTTCCATTCCCTCTGAAAAGCAATGGAAATATATATCTTCTGTGCCTCAGTTTACTTACCTATGAAACAGGTAAAATATTCATCCTTGCCTCAAAGGTGATTAAGGAGATTAAATAAGGAAGTATGTGTGAGAGTCCTGAGCACAGGGGTTGGCACATAGTAGGTCCCAATAGGGAATATTGAATGAATGAGGAGTGCGCAGTGGCAGAAAATAGACTGATGAGGGTGAGCCTGGCCCCAAGGAAAGTTCCAGAATGGGTTTCTTAATGCATAGCTGAAGATCCTCATTTTCTTTTGTAATGAGCAAGCATATATTTGCAAAGAATAATTCACAGCAGGGAGTATGTGATTTCCAGCCAGAGTTTGGAGAATTAAGGACACATCTCAGACATTGTACTTTATCCCTTAGACCTGCAACACTTGGACTTAATCAAGCCTTTGACAAGATATTTCCTAATCATTGGGAACAAGACAGAAAAATATGAAAAGGATTATAGTAACACAGGCAGAATTGTCTTCCCGCGCTTCCTCCAGCTTTTAAGCACTGCTGTCTAAAAATGTTGCTTGGGTAGAGGACTGAACGTGAGCTGTGCATTTATACTTGAGCTCCAATCCCAGCTCAGCCACTTCATGACTGTGGCTTTGGAAGGCCACTTAATCTTAGTCATCTGAAAAACAGGGAAAGCAATGCCTCAGCAAGGTGTTTGTGGATTAAACGAGGGTATATAAAGTACCTGAAATGTAGTAGCAATGATTATCCTGATGAGGTATGATGTGTTTGGGCCACAGATTTGAACTCAGAGCAACTTAGTGCTGAGTTAATGCCTCCTTTCCTACCTTGGACTCGTTTTAACTGTGAGCATTCTGTTTTCCATGTTAGTGATGATCTTCCATGAGAGAGAAGCCAGAATTAGAATGGGAGCTGAGTAGTTCAGCTTTTCTCTGCCCTCTATGAAACCATCACATTTAATGAACCTTGAGAGTCAGACAGCACGCCTACTCTTCTCCTGTGGTTCTGACTCTAAGAAAAGCTACTGTGGCTATCCTTGACATTTATCACAAGTCTTGGCCCACTCAGCAATTTCACATCCTTGACTCTGTTCTTCCATGCCACTCTTTGTACTTTCTGTGGTTATACCTTCATCCCTAACATCTTGTATCAATCCTTTGAGTTCCTTGGGGCACTGCAGGAATAGTCACTGAGCTTTGCACAGTCCGGTGTTTTTCAAAATAGTTGGTCACCAAATCCATGTAGCAAATCATGATGAACATTTTAAAATAAATGAAATAGAATTAAATAGAAAAGTTAAGGATGTATCTAGCACATGTATTAGGGTGAGGATTCTCTTGTGAACCTTATTTCAGGTGTGTGTGGTGTGTAAGTGTGTGTGCTGTGTGCTTCTATTATGTAAAATGCTTTTCCTAATGTGGGTCTCAGTCTGAAAATTCTCAAGCCACTGTTTCATCACTATTCCTTTTTATTTCTTTACTGTGAATTTTCATGATGGTGTGTCAGATTTCCATTTTTGAAATGACTTTTAGTTTCTCATGTCCTGGGGCAGGTCCCTACCTTCCTTTAAAATCTATTTTCTAAGTTCGTGTCCATCATTCAGGGAACCACCAGCTCCTGAAGGCTGGGCCTTCCTCACCTCTGCATTTCTGGCAGCCAGACTGGTGATTCTCTACCTCGGTTGTGCATCAGGATGAACTTGATGCTTTAACAAAGCCAGTTACTGGACCCTACTCCTACCCTTTTAGGTCAGACCCTCTTAGGAAGTGAGATTGATAGCCAATGGCACAGTAGTAGGCACATGTTACTTTTTTTTAAAATGAATAATGAAAGATCACAAATTCCTATCATTTTGTACCAGGTTGGTAAGAATTTTATGCCAAGTGTCCATTGACTTCTAGCCCATACTCCTCCTTCTGAGACTAAATTATCAGTAAGGCAAGTTAATTTTTTTGGCCTATCTTTAGCCAAATAAAATCTCCAGGATTCTTAGATAATGCTACTTACTATGACTATGATAATGTATTGTATCATTAGTTATCAAAACATGTCTATTGTTTAAACCTCTTGGCTGTGCTAATGTTGTAGTCCATTTCTTTCAAATGCCTCATCAATGGCTTTACTCTGCTCAGGCAGCCTGCTGGTGCTTCCTTCTCACATCTGTTCCTTTATCCTTTGGCCTTCACTCCAATGTTCCCCTCGATGCTCATGCACTGAGATTTAATACATTGCTTTTGGGTATGTTTGCATGATATGCCTTTTTATATGCTGGCCTTGGGTATGATTTTCTGAAGTTATAAATCCTTTTAAGCACACCTACATTTTTCAAGTAACACACCTGAAAGCAGATGCCCAGTCCCAGCTTTGGAGTCAGACTGGGCAGACAGGCTGGAGGCCCATCTGTCACCAGCCTTAAAACATCAATGGAATAAATTGGAACCATGTTGCTATTTAATCCAAATTTCCACATAGGACTCCTTACATGGCTGATAAAATAGTTCCTGCTCCTGCTGAAGTGCATAGAGCCCTGGGGAGGACTATGTATCCTCTTTGTGTTATCTTTTCACCTCTGTTTAATAAATACTAAATGTTGTGCGTAGAGACCCACGTGTCTTGCTCTGGCCTTGCCTGGTAGAGTTGCTCAGGTTCCAAGGACCACAAACCCTGGAGTCAAAACCTAGGCAAAGTACAGTTAAGGAAAATGTTATTGGCTAATTACCTTTGCAGCTTAATTATAAGTTCTGAATAGTTTTATGTGTATTTTATTCCTTTTCTTTCCCCGCAGAAGACGACTTAATGCTTTCCGAGAAGTAGAACCAGTAGATCTTCCTAACTGTAATTTAGTTAAAGGAATAGGTACGTATGTGAGAGAAGGAAGTATCTCATTTGAACTTGTCGTATTATCTTGATATATATATATATATAATTACTGCACCTGTTCAATTTTGTTCAAAAATAGACCTATGAACCAGAAGAGTATTATTAAGTCAGGTAATTTTAAGTAAATTACTGGTCTGGTGACTTCACTAACATATTGCCAAGGTGTTGACAGTGTTTTGATCATTTGTTTTTGTTTGGTCAGTTTAGCAAGAACAATAGAACGATGTTTGCTTTTTTGGTAATATAATCTGAGGAAATGGTGTAGGAGAGACAGAAGAGGGAGAAAAAGCAGTGAGTAAAGGGTTAATTTTTAAAAAGCCCTCACACACATTTTTAAGAAGCCCTTTGCTTCTCCTCGGGAAGGAAATTTTTTCCCCAGAAGCTCTCAGAAGATTCCCCCATAGATCTCATTAGAGCTAGACAATCAGCTGGTGCCCTAGCTGCAAAGGAAGCTGAAAAAGTAATGATCAGGCCTCTATCATAGAAGGCAGGCGCTGTCAGCAAAGATAAAAGGCCAGGGGAATAGCAGCCAGTAGGCAACCAACAAGGAGTGTCACAAGACTTTGAGTCCCCAAGAGTTGAGTCCCCAACCAACCAGCTGTTATTTGAGGACAACTTGTTAGAGATCCATGCTTGTGTTGTTTTGTGTTGTTGTTGTTTTAAATACTTATTTATCTTAGTTGCCTAAGGTTAGAAAGGCTAGACCAGATGATTTATTCAGTTAGCATGAATAAGCTTGGTCAGATATTTTACAGTGCAGTTTTTTTCTAGAAAACAAGTATAATATTGATATTAAAGATCACTAGGTATCTGCAAAGCAAATATCTTCGCTAAGAGAATCAATACAAAACTAAAAGTTCTCATTTGTTTCTAGACTGATTGAAATTTTAAAAATTTACATGTATTTAAAATCTAACTAACTTGGTGATATTTTACTGATGTTTATAATTAATAGTAAATGCAAACTCTGCATATGAAATATATCTGCATTTTCACTGAATTTGCTTATGTTTCTAATGTGGTTTTCAAAGAGTTTTATTTGATTTTGAACTATTAAGAATATATATTGGGGGAAAAACAAGATGGCGGCGTAGGTAACAGCTGCACCCGCCGCCTCCCGCAACCAAATCAAAATTACAACTAAAACACAGAACCACCATCACTCAGGGCCTCCTGAAATCTGGATGAACAGAAGCCCCACAACCAGGGAGCTGAAGAAGGGCCGAGACTGGTAGGAGGGGCGGAGACACAGGCTGATCGGGGCTGAATCACACAGACACGGCCGCGGGCCCACACCCAGTACCGAGGTTGAAACCCAGGAGGGAATCTCGGCAGCGGAGTTTTCCCGGAGGAGGGAGGGTTCCCAGCCCCACAGCAGGCCCTCAGCCAAGGCTCCAGGCCGGGAAGAGACGCCCCACAGCTTCAGGCTGTGAAACCAGCGGGGCCTGTGGCTGAGGGTCGCGGAGGCTGCGGGAGCCCCAGCAGCTCCTCTAAAGGGCCCGGCACGGACTCACTCGGACGCTCCCTCTGAGCCCAGCGCCGGGCAGCAGCCTGAAAGGACCCGGGACACTCGGGGAGGAACTAACCTGCCTGAGATCCGGGCGAGAGGTGGAGGGGCGGCTTCCTCCCAGGCAGAAGGGCTGGCGGAGGCCATGGCTCCTGTGGCGAGTCCTCCCCGCACACAGCCGGCAGGCAGGCGCCATGTTTGAATCGCCAGCACCTGACTCACACCTTTGGCCCCGCCCCGTGATTCCCGGAGGCCCCGCCCCTCCCCACCTGCAGCTCATCCAGGCCATTTCCAGGGGCTTTTCTGTGCAAGTGGCCTCTCGAGCCTCATGCTTAGGACTTTCCTAAAATCTCTCAAACAAGCAGCAGCGGGCCCCATACGGCTTGATAAGTGGCCCCAGGCCTGGCACTAGCGGCAGCCTGCATTGGCTCATAGCTTGGCCTCTCCTGGACACCTCCAAGCCCAGCACAAGTAGCAGCCAACTACGGTTTGCTGTGTAGCTCATGCTGGGTGGCCCTGGGCAAGGCACTGGCACAGGCTGACTTTGCACCTCCAGGGAGGCCCCAGAGACAGTGCACCTGGTGGTCAGACTCGACCACACTGGATTACAACCCTACCACAGCCACGAGTGACACACTCAAGGGGCGCACTTGGTGAACACCAAAGCCCCACTGAAGTAAATCCTGATCCATAAGGGTGTCTCCAGCACAGCAGCTCTCTGGCTGTAGTTGCAGCTGGTCCTCACAGCCAATTGGCCTGGGGGTCAATTCCTCCCAGTGATGCCAACAGCAACCAGGGCTCAACTACAACAGGACAGTGCACACAGCCCACACAGGGGAGCACCTGGAAGGCCCAGCTCAGGTGACTGGGGAGGCTGAGCCACTGGACCCTACAGGACACCTACTACACAAAGCCACTCTACACATTCCAGGAGACACAGCAGCTCTACCTAATACATAGAAACAAACAACTGGAAGCAGCCAAAATGTAGAGGCAAAGAAACATGTCATAAAGGAAAGAACAGAAGAAACCTCTTGAAGAGGAACTAAATGAAATAGATCCAAGCAAGCTAACAGATAGAGAGTTCAGAATTTTGGTTATAAGGATGTTTAAGCAAATGGTTAAGGAAATAACTGAGAAAATTGATGACATAATAAAGTACCAATTTGAAATGAAGGCTACAGGAACTGAAATGAAGAATAATTTACAGGGAATCAACAGCAAAGTAGAGGATGCTGAGAATCAAATCAGCAATTTGGAACATGAGGAAACAAAAAACACCCAACCAGAAGAGAAAAAAGAAAAAAGAATCCAGAAATATGAAAATTGTATAAGGAGCCTCTGGGACAACTTCAAGAGGCCCAACATTCGTATTGTTGGGGTGCCAGAAGAGGCAGAAAGAGACCAAGGAACTGAAAACCTATTTGAAAAAATAATGACAGAAAACTTCCCCTACCTGGGGAAAGAAATCGACTTTCAAGTCCAGGAAGCATAGAGGGTCCCAAACAAAAGGAACCCAAAGAGGCCCACAGCAAGACACATCATCATTAAAATGCCAAAGGTTAAAGACAAAGAGAGAATCTTAAAAGCAGCAAGAGAAAAGCAGTTAGTTCCCTACAAGGGAGCACCCATTCGACTGTCAGCTGATTTCTCAACAGAAACCTTGCAGGCCAGAAGGGAGCGGCAAGAAATATTCAAAGTGATGAAAAACATGGAACTACAACCAAGATTGCTCTACCCTGCAAAGCTATCGTTTAGAACTGAAGGTCAGATAAAGAGCTTCACAGATAAGAAAAAGCTAAAGGAGTTCATCACCACCAGACCAGCACTACAGGAAATGTTGAAGGGTCTTCTTTATGAAGAAGTTAATGAACAAAAGAATCTGATGAACTAAATAGATCCAGAGACATTGACACATGCAAGAGACGATCATATTTCAGAGGAAAGAGGGAAGGGGGGTGGAGGGTGGGAAGAGATTAACCAAAGAAGTTATATGCATATATGCATAACCCATGGCCACAGTCAATAACGGGGTGAAGGCCTGAGGAGGGGGTGGGAGGGAAGTGGAGGGGGTCAGTTGTGGGGGAAGATGGTATACCTGAAATACTCTCAACAATAAAGATAAATTTAAAACGTAAAAAAAAAAAAAAGTATATATATTGGTAGTTTACTCTGTCTTTAAAAAACCAGCAGGCTATTTTCAAATTATTGTGCCCTTTATACATTTTGTGAATTTCTACGAACTTTATATGAGATTTAAGACTCTGAAATTAATTATATTAATGTCTTTTAATTTTTATATAATCATACTAGTCATTTGGAAAAATTAATGAAAGGATTAATTATTCTGAACCTATCAAAGAAAGCTAAATATGTAGCCCCATTTTCAAGCTAGGAATGATGAAAGAAAAAGACCACGAGCTTCCTGCAATAGTGTGAAACACTCTGTGCTGTCTCTTCTCTTTCCTGGCAGAATCAGGCTCTGAAGACTTAGAGATACTTCCTAATGGACTGACTTTTATTAGCTCTGTAAGTATTTTCTTTCACTAGACCATTTTCTAGAAGCAGTAGCTTAAGTCTTTCATTTAGGCCTTCTATATACCCATGCCCACCTTCAAATAAAATGAGCAGTCATGTGGTTCCAAAAAGAAACTGTATACACATTTATCCTGGTGTTATAATCATGATCACATGCATTCCATGCATATTTGTACCCCTGTGTGCACGTTGAACTCATATCACCTTATCTTCCATTGTAACATTTTGTGAGCCCAATGAGTTCAAGAATGACTTCCCATCCAATTGTCTGTCCCTTGAAGCGCTTTAAGTGGTGTACTCAAATACTTGCTGAATTAGTGTACTTTTATACCCCCTCACATTTAGATTTTCACCTTTTTTATACTTTTCAGAATAAGTCTTCTAATTTAAAATTGCTGAAAGGTTATTAAGGGAGTCCCCCATGTTTGTGGAAACTCCCATGCGTACAAGTCACTGTGGTAGTGATGATGTAGCTCAAACGAAAGACGTTGATAACGTAGGCTTGGGTGACAGCTATAATAGGGTACAGTCTACAAGTCATCCAGCCTCTGAAGACCCTTTGCTGCTGGTGGTAATTGATTTAGTCCAGTTTTCTTGTATGAAGATGGAGGACTAGTCATCCTTTACAACAGTCTCTTGCAAACCTTTTTTAAAGCAACAAAATACATATTTTAAGCAAAACTTTATATAGGGCCCGATTTCTAAAACAAACAAGAGCTGGGTTGTTCTAACTGAAGGTGAAGGCGTTGTTTCGGGGCTCAATAGACTTTCCCTAAACCTCTGTGCCTGAGAAGCTTTCCAGGAACCTGCCAGGGGACAGTGTAAAAACCATAAGCAATGTTCTCTTCATATCCCCTGCTTATTTTGTTGAATCCCATTAGTAAATGCCCCTTTGGTCTGCTTTTCCATTTTTTATCTTTCTTGTGGGTTGGTAGCTGTGCTATAGGACTCCTATGGCTTTAGTGCTCATGACGGGTTTGTGCCTGTGTGGGGGGGTCCCCTGATGGAGCATGTGGTTCCCAGAGCCCTCCGTGGGCCTATTACACAAGCCAGCTCAGAGGCTTCCCATGTGGCCTTGTTGCACAAAGCAGACACATGCCCTCAACCACCTCCATCAGCACGTGTAATGTGCTCATTTCTTTCTCCTTCATTATTTATAAGGGATTAAAATATCCTGGAATAAAGAGCTTTGAACCTGATAAGCCTGGAAAAATACTTCTGATGGACCTGAATGAGGAAGATCCAACAGTGTTAGAATTGAGCATCTCTGGAAGTAATTTCAATTTATCTTCATTTAACCCTCATGGGATCAGCACATTCACAGATGAAGGTAACAATATTTACTGTTTCTTAGAAATAAAACCAAATTAAAAAAAAGTTAACGCATAAATATTTCTTTTCATCCATAATCACAAATAATGTTCTTATTCTGTATTTAAAAATGACCCCCTATGTTAATTAAATATATTAAAACTACTTAAATGCTTGAGAATGTTAAAATATATAAGATTTATAAAACATCTAATTTTTAAAAATACTACCAACATCCACATCCCTATAATTACTGTAGTAATAATATTCAGCTCTGATAGTATGGGTTTTCCATTTTAAATCATTTTACAGATCCAGGCGAATGTGCCAAGGAAGCTCCTGCCTCAGGCCCTTTGCACACTATCTCCCCTCAGCCTGGAATGCTCTTTCACCAGATAGTCACATGGTTTTGTCTCTTATTCCATTTACGTCTCTGCTTTAATATCACCTCATCAGAGAAAACGTCCTTGACTCCCATGAAGAAAACTTCATTACTCTCCATCCCTTTATTCCATTTTATTTTTTAATTCGTAACACTTAACATCAACTAAAATAAATTGGATACTTGCTTGTTGAATGAAGAGCCTCCTAGCTGGCTCCTCAGCTCAAATCTGTTCAGTTCAACCTACTAAACTTTCCACTGTTTTCCTTTAAACACCAACTTGATCATGTCATGTCAAAGGTTTCCATGGATTCACTATTCTTAAGGCAAAGACTATAATCTCACTTCATTTGCTACCTTCTTGACCACTTAGACCAGCCTCTTTTATGTCCCAAAGTCGCACTGACTCATGGAAGTGGCTTTCCTTGATACTGTCTCTCAGGCATTCTTTTTATAGAATTTATCATCTTACCCTGTATAAATTATACCCGACCACAGCTTCTCATATTAGTATTTCCTACCTCTTTTATCTCAACTCTGCATCTTGCTGAGACCATCTGCAATAGAAAGCATAACAAGCTCTTTGGAGTTTTAGTGCCAAACGCTGCTCATTCTTAATTTAAGGATATTTTTCCCCCTGTGTGGAGCTTGGGGTTTTCAGAGACTGTCACTGATTCCTCCTTTAGCCATTTCTCTTTGGAACAATTGCAAATGCTTCTCTCTACAAAGAGATGAAAATAGTCCATCTGCCTGACACCCTAAGTACCAGTTGGAGGTGGGTTGAAATTGCTTTTTGGAGACAGTTCTGACAGCTGAGAGCTCAGTTAATGTTTCGATTTTTGTTTTTAATCTGTTCTCAGATAATACCGTGTACCTGCTGGTGGTGAACCATCCAGATGTTAAGACCACCGTCGAGCTGTTTAAATTTCAAGAAGAACAAAAGTCACTTTTGCATCTGAAAACCATCAGACACGAACTTCTACCTAAGTACTGAAATCTATCTTATTTCTATTTCCCTTTAATACTGGTGGGCGATTAATCCACTTTTAATTTTTCCTTTTGGCTAGGGGGTAAGGAAGATAATGCTGTCCAACTCTCCCTTCTAATGATCACACACTCCTCCAAATGTTATTCTGCAGAAACTTTTGAGGACCCAAGTCCCTCAGAGGAGGCCCCTTCCCTTTGGCCCTTGTTTCCCAGGCTGGCTGGATAGTGGCCTATGACTCCTGGCCTCAGAATGTCCATTTGAGCTTGTACCAAGGGAAAACTCTGCTCTTTTCCAAAAACAGACTTCGTATTTCAAACCCAAACCAGTTTCATAGACAAATTTCCCATCTTGAGTTTATTTATTTGTTAGTTATTTGTTTTTGTGTCTTTTTAAAATATAGAACCTTAGAGGTTTCTATGAATTAGAAACACATACCTAGGAGGAGAGCTGAAACCCGGTGACTCAAAGGCCTCCCCGAGCTGCCTCTCCCGCAGTTGGGTTGCACAGGCTTTATGGAATTGCAGGTCTGTGGCAGCTCTCAGCTCCGTCGGGGCTCCTTGGCCACATAAAATATGGAAAAAGAAAACCCACAAAGATCTCTGATCCCCATCAACCCCACACAAAGTCGATTTCCTTGCTTACCTTAGGATTTGATTTATGAGGCAAGTGCTGGATTCAGGATGATAATGTGACACTAGCTTCTCAAACAATTTTTAAGGTTATTGTTTTTCTAGAATCCTAACCTCTATTTGAATAATTCACGTACAGCATTTAACTGCTTCGGCATTTGTAAATCTGAATTTCTTTTAAACCATGTGTTATTTACGTGCAGGTACCTAGCAAAGCACCTGGCACATAGTTTGTGCTCAGTGTTACCAGTGCCCTTTCCTTTCCTCCTCTCCTCTCCTCTCCTCTCCTCTCCTCTCCTCTCCC